CAACCATGCACTCTACATGCTGTCTAGGAGGTAAGGATCCAGCTTTTACAATGGCTTTCAGAGGAGCTGCGGTGGCTCAAGTGGTTAAGACGCTGAACTGCAGGCTGTGAAAGTTCGGTAGTTCAGCAGTTCGAGACCCGAGTTGCCGCATGACGGAGTGAGCTCCCGTCTCTAGTTCCAGCTCCTGCCGACCTAGCAGTTCAAAAGCAAGAAATTGCAAGTAGATAAACAGGTACCGCTTCGGTGGGGAGGGAACAGCGTTCTGTGCGCCTTGGTGTTTAGTCATGCCGGCCACATGACCACGGAAACGTCTTCGGACAGCGCTGGCTCTTTGGCTTGGAAACAGAGATGAGCACCGCAACCCTAGAGTCGGATTCGACTGGCTTTCGAGCAAGGGAACCTTTACCTTTACTTTCAGAGTAGCATTACAGCACTGAATAGAACTCCCAGCAATTTCTCTGCAAAGTGCGTCCGTAACCCTCCAGCTTGGTCTGCCAGTGAACGTTGCTTCCTTCCTTCCTTTCTTCCAGGACTTCCTGGCACCTTAGGTGTGCCTGGTTTGCAAGGACCTCCCGGCATCTCTTTTCCGTCTCTCATGCCTGGGAGACCTGGTGATCCTGGACATCCGGGAGAAGATGGCATACCAGGTATGGAGTCACATTACTGGGCTATCAGTGAAGCTGCAAAGGGAGAATTAGTGTCAAACTCGGGCTGGACTGTGGTTTATGGTGGTGTTGTGTGGATCAATGTATTGCAGTTTATGGTCTCCATCTGTTTTATGTCTTCCTGTCACTTCCGCCCTCTCGCTGCCATTCCTACGGGTAGGAGAAGGTATGAATGCTTGGATGTGTGAATGGGGGAGTAGAATAGCCACTCATGCTTGGTAACATCTTTCCCATAACAAGTGTACCTCTGGGAGAGCCTGTTCATAGCAGGACATCCATGAAGTCTTTCTGATAACAACTTTCACAGGCTAGCTAAGTAGAGACTGTTGTAAGACAAAGGGGGGGGTGTGAATGACGTATCTCTGGAATGTGCCTTTTGACTATACCTTGAGTTACTTTCGATTTATGCCTTAGTCTTAGCAAGGATTACATCCTTGCCAATATCCAATTCTCTTTTCCAATAAAACCTTTCTTAAAAGAGTTGCGGGCTGAGAGTGGGGAATCAAACCCGGTTCTCCCAGATTAGAGTCCGCACACTTAACCACTGCACCAAACTGAAGAGAAGAAGAAGAGAAGAGATTGGATTTATACCCCGCCCTTCACTACCCAAAGGTGTCTCAGAGCGGCTTACAAACTCCTTTCCCTTCCCCTCCCCACAACAGACACCCTGTGAGGTAGGTGGGGCTGAGAGAACTCTTGACAGAAACTGCTCTTTTTTCAAGAACAGCTGTGCCAGAGTTATGGCTTGCCCAAGGCCATCCAGCCAGGTGCAAGTGGAGGAGTGGGGAATCAAACCCGGTTCTCCCAGACTAGAGTCCGCGCACTTAACCACTACACCAAACTCTCCAAGGATAACAACTCTGCTCCAGCCTGGTGGCAAGCCTTTTAAACTTTTGCCAGACGGTGGACAGACATCGGCAGAGCGTACCACAACTAAGGTCCACAAGTAATATACTGGTGCCTACGCAGTCGCCTCTGGCTTTGGAAACGTCAGCCACTCTGCCTGCTTGCAGTAAAGGTTATTTCCCCCCAATTGTCATGAGACTCGTAAGCAACAAAAGATGAACTTCAGCACAACTGGATTCTGTGCTATAAAAACAGATCTGAAACACATCTTTTTAGGTGGCCATTTTGGTCCGTGGAAGAATTCCAGAATGAATTCCAGTCTCCAGCCCAACTGCCTCTAAACGTCTACTGCCGTTTGCTCTAGGCTCCCAAGGACCCCCTGGGCTACGAGGACCCCCGGGCCCTGCCTTCAATCAAGGCGATACAGGCAACGCGGGCTTTCCTGGCCTTCCTGGTTTGCCCGGCCTCAGAGGGGATATGGGGATCCCTGGGCTAGCCGGAGTCCCAGGAGCATCAGGATTCAAAGGTATGATATTATTTTTAAAAAACCCAACCTTAAGCATCTCTGGTCAGCTGAAATGTGCTGCCTCTGTGCTCGAATCAGCTGCAGCAAGTATAATTGGGAAAAGAGAAAACCAAATGTCCAGATTTCTTGGTAAACAATGTGTGGAAGGGCAAAGGGAACCTTTACCTTTACTTTCAGAGTAGCATTACAGCACTGAATAGAACTCCCAGCAATTTCTCTGCAAAGTGCGTCCGTAACCCTCCAGCTTGGTCTGCCAGTGAACGTTGCTTCCTTCCTTTCTTCCAGGACTTCCTGGCACCTTAGGTGTGCCTGGTTTGCAAGGACCTCCCGGCATCTCTTTTCCGTCTCTCATGCCTGGGAGACCTGGTGATCCTGGACATCCGGGAGAAGATGGCATACCAGGTATGGAGTCACATTATTGGGCTATCAGTGAAGCTGCAAAGGGAGAATTAGTGTCAAACTCGGGCTGGACTGTGGTTTATGGTGGTGTTGTGTGGATCGATGTATTGCAGTTTATGGTCTCCATCTGTTTTATGTCTTCCTGTCACTTCCGCCCTCTCGCTGCCATTCCTACGAGTGGGAGAAGGTGTGACTGCTTGGATGTGTGAATGGGGGAGTAGAATAGCAGCTCATGCTCGGTAACATCTTTCCCATAACAAGTGTACCTCTGGGAGAGCCTGTTCACAGCAGGATGCCCATGAAGTCTTTTTGATAGCAACTTTCACAGGCTAGCTAAGTAGAGGCTATTGTAAGACGAAGGGTGTGTGAATGACGTATCTCTGGAATGTGCCTTTTGACTATACCTTGAGTTACTTTCGATTTGATTTATGCCTTAATCTTAGCAAGGATTTCATCCTTGCCAATATCCAGTTCTCTTTTCCAATAAAGCCTTTCTTAAAAGAGTTGCGGACTGAGAGTGGAATTACTGGGAACCTGACAATTAGCTTAGCTTAAATAAAACAATGATCTGGAATAACACCTCCCAAATACTGGATTCTGAATGTTGCTTCCGGTCACGCTGCACTCTTTTCCGTAGTAGACAAAACAGGGATCCCTAACGTGTAATAGTAGAAAACAGCAGAAAAAACGCCAAGGGAAGACCAGCAAAGATTAAATGCACTTGAAATGTCTTGAGTATAGGATATATTAAGTAAGTGCTTAAATTACAAATAAACGTCTATAATGAGTGGGTGGTCCACAACCCAAAACAAGATACAGTGCTCCCAAATGTAATCATATGTGTTCATGGCATATCATACATTAACGCTGAGATACAGATAAACATAACAGTAATTGCGCTCACAAGCACTGATAACAAGGTATGCACATAAATCCAGCCGGTTGATTCACCTTGCTTAAATGCAATAAAAGTGTCCAAAGACCTCCTGCAGTCATAAATTAAGCAGAGGATAACCAGTAAAAACTCTCCTATAGCCAAACAAGGCCTTTCCTAGGTATACGGATGTTTCAGTTTCACTTCTTCTGGATAAGCTGCTGAATAAAGAAACCCGATTTCAAAGAGAATTACATAGAGCACCAGTTCTTTTAGCTATATTGAGTCCCAGGGCACCTGTGACAGCTAACAGCTAGAACTAGCAGAATCCAGGATATCGATAAAGCAATGGAAACTGGAAAATTTCCATTGCCCCGACTCTACA